ACGTCTCTTGTCCCTCATGCTAGCTAAGGCTTTTTCCCTAAGGCTGATGATTCGCGAGGGCTGATTGTTTCCTAATGTTAATAACGTATGTTGAAGAAATTCCTCGAGCACTGAATATGCATTATTTTATTGTCACATTTGGTATTTTATTTCTCATGCGAACACTGGGGCAGTTTTCTTTTCCTTTCCCTTTCTGTTGAGGAAGTTACGGCTTAGAAGGATGAAGCCGTTTGCCCAGGGTCACTCAGCAGAGCTGCAGGTCACGTCTGTGTCCCCTTGACCCAAGGCCCAGGCTCTCTTCCTTGCACAGTGGCAGTGGTCTCTGTTCGATGCCCCAAGGACGGGCTTTATCTGAGGTTCTTCTCTGTGCTCGTCCGTGAGCTCCACGCTGATTCCCGCGTGTCCCCCTTCTTCCGTCCTTCCTGCCAAGTCCGGTTCCACCCGCCTTGCCCAGGGGGCCTTCTCCACGCCTCTTGCCATCCTCACTGATTGCCTGTTAATTGGCGAGGAGCTGTTCTAGAACAACTGCCATAGTGTTAAGCAGGTGGCTTGTGTCCCCGGGTTGGTGGATGTCTCCTAACTTCCAGGCCCCGCGCAGGGTACAGGCAGGTGTCCCCTCGGCTGGGTGTCCGGCGGGGGCAGTGACGCTGTCCGTTTTCCTTCCAGGTACGTGCGACTCTGCGAAGTGGTTGACCACGTCTTCCCGTTGCTGAAAAGAAGCCATTCTTCGGACTTCCCCTGCTCGGATACTTTCAGTAATTTCACCTTTTGGAGAGAGCCACCGCCACCTTTTGAAAACCAGGATGTTCATTCTTCCTCCGCATAAAACGTCCCAAGCAGCCTCCTGACGTCATGTGAAGACCCGGCGCCCCCGATTAAAGGATAGGTTTTGGGAGCCGTGGAGCAGGAGCCCAGGAGCCTGACGTGCTGTCGTTTGCTTAAGAGCAGAGAAATCGGAGGGGCGTCTCTCCCCCTTCCCGGTGCCCCGGGGTTGGCGTTTCTGAGTGAAGTGTGAAGGGGGTGCTTTGCAGGCTTGGGGGGGGGGGGATCAGGTGCGTTTAAAGTGTGGGAGGTATGCCTCGGTCATGGCTGAAAGCCAGTGGCAACGTTGTCCGGTCCCGTCCGGTCCCGTCCGGTCCCGCCCGCTCCCGCAGCAGCTCGTTATGGGCTGAGGGGCCATGTGGCACAGGTGGCTGCCTGGGGGGGCGGGGGGGGGGCTCCCTGCCGATGACAGTTCGGCTGAGGAACGCCAGATGCGCAGGACTTCGGTAGAGGAGGGGCACGTGTCCGTTGGTGGCCTGTGTGCCACACCTCCTGCTCGTGCAGGGAGGGCTGAGGGTCCCTGGCTCTGCGGGGTCTCCGCCCTCACCCTGCTGGCTTGGCCCGCGGGGTCCCCCTGCAGGCTTGGCCCGCGGGGTCCGCCTGCAGTATTTGCCGACGGGTCTGATTGTTAGCTGAGGAGTTCTGGGGTTCCTTTGGTGAAAGGTAATTTAGGTCATGGGTGTCTTTCCCCCCCCCCCCCCCCCCCCCCCCCCCGTCCCCGCCTCCTCAGTTTCGTGGCCCGAGGCTGGAATATTTATGCCTTAATGCACCTGCGGCAGACGTTTTATTTAGAATGTGCTTTGTCCAGCTGTCTGTAACTTTGTAGCGCCTTAAGTTCGGATGACAGTAGACGTTACTAGGGCAGTGCTTTCCATCCGCTCGACTCCCTGCCAGCAGCCTCTATCCAGCCGGGCGGTGCCGTGGACGTGGACTTGAACTGAGCTCGTGCCACACGGTAACGATGGGGAGTTCTGTCGGGAGCTCTCAAAAGAAGCGAGGTGGTTTTACGAAAATAGTTCCAAGAAGTTATGTTCTTTGTAGGCACGGTTATTTATTACTTCACTCTGACTGGGTTATAGTTACGAGCATTTTAGCCATATCCCTCCCATTATAACTGTCGTTAATATATTAAAAAGATGTAGAGGTTAGACCATCCAAAGAGCCTTATTCTGTATGTCTCCCGACACTGACCTTCCTTTGGAATTTCTGGGTAATACATTTTCCTTCACTTTTCCCCCTCGAATTAAGGGCAAGGGGATAAATAATAATTTGAGTGACATTCTTTAAGCCGGCGGAAGAGAATTCCATTCCCTGTTTGTGAAATTGGCTTGTGGAGAGAACAGTTGGAAAAGTGAAACAATTATTTTGGTAAAAGATTTTGCTTTACTTTTTGAAGTATTATTTTTTTAAAGAGTGTTTTACTCCAATGACTGAAGTGCTTTCCTATTTAAGTCACATATTGTTAGAGTCCTAGGGGGCAGAAAAGGCAACAGCTGAATGACATTTTACTCTTTCTGTGAAAGAAAATCCAGGCGTGTGGCCTTCATTGTGACCGGGGGGGGCTCTGTTAGCAAGGGGTGCCTTTACTGAACGGTTCGCGTGGCCGCGCAGAGAAAGGCAAACACGTGCGTGTTGTGGATCCCGGATTTGCCTAGCGACGTGAACGTGCATGTGCAGATTCCCTTTTAAAAATAATTAAAAATTGTTCTGCCTTAACTGCTCCAGGCTTGTTCATTAGTGACCTCTCGAAGCTACGTGAATTCCGTCATGAGGGTATCTTGGGGTGAGCTTGAAGTGTTGTGAACCACGTGTAAGGTCACGGGCCTGCGGAGGCTGACGTAGTTTGTCCCTTGTGCTGGGAGGGATTGGGCTTTGAGGACACGTAGCGTATCCCACGTCGTGCCGTCCTGTGCGCCCTTCATCAGGATGACCAGCTGTAGTCATTCTCTAGGTAGGAGAGCACGCAACTCTGTTCCTGATTTTGATGCACCTTATACCTCCACCCCCCACCTCACTCCGGAACAGAGCATGGCTTCCAGAAGGTCGCACGCTCGGATGTGCGTCAAGTTCAGGGCGTGGCCCCTCGCGGGTTCTGAAGATGGGATTTGTATACGGCCGCACACGTGTGTGTGTGTGTGTGTGTGTGTGTTTATCCGTATTCACACAACCATCACCTGGCAACCCTGGGGTCACGTGCTGGAATGCTGGATTTGCAGCACACATTTCAAGGTTGCCCTGTGGAAATGAATCCCTCCCTAGTGGCGTCATCAGATGATCATCCCGTGTGACGAGGGAGAATATATATACCCGGTGTATAGAAAACTATATACCTGGTGCACGGAGGGATGGCTGCACCTTCAGAGGGAGCTCCCTCTTTAGTGTTAGACTTAGATTCCCACTTTAAATGTGTTTTCTCCACAAACTTGGGTCTGTATTTGTACATGCTGGTACCACCATAAAACCCCTGTGATGCTCCGCTGTGTTGTGCTGAATGCAAAGCTAGAAAACGTAATAAATGAGACGGGTGAGAGACTCCTCTGAAAGTCAGGCGTGTGAATTTTAAAGAGTTTTCTGGTAAGTTATTAAGTTGCTGACTTTCTAGTGTGTGAGATCAAGCATATTTTATTCTCAAAAAAAAAAAAAATGTTTGAGGTGATGAACTGCTCAATATTTGGAATAAAAGAGCCAGTCTTTTCTGATGCCTTTCGTGCAATACTGAGCCTCCGTGTGCACTTGGGAGGGAGTAGAGGGGAGGGGCCGGTGTCTGGGGCTCGCCCTACCCCGGTGGAGGGGACTCGAGAGCCGGGTGGGCTGGGTTAAATGTTGCATATGCACATCTTCCCCGGCGGCCCGGCCCGTAACTGACGCTCAACACAAGCAGATGCTGGGATATTTAAGGTGGAAGAACATTACCTTCTGGGTGCATAGACCAGATAGAGGAGGGCGGGCTGTGGGTGGGTTAGTTTGCACGTTACAGGCAGGCTCTGCCTGGGCCCCTTGCTACCTCTCGGAAGTGGCTAGCCGGTCTCTCCCCCAGGAGGGGTTTTAAGATGTCAAAACGCTAATAATACACAGAAAACAAATGTGTAGACTATACATGTTCCCTTGCCCGCATTCACCGTCCTCAATTTGGACGCTCGTCTGTGGTATACCCGATTTGTTTTTCATTTTGAATGAGTCAGGCCGAGCCCTTGACTAGTTGACCCAGATCCCTTGAACGCTGTTGTTTTTCCTGATTGGATTTTGCGCATCGTAGGCATGCCTGAGACAGCCCGCCGATTCGCCTGGGTCAGCCCGGGTGTTTGGGGACAAATGTTTACGAGTATTGGTCCCCACATGGGTAAAAGATGGATCCCCGGCGCCCCCCTGAGCTTCTCATGAAGCGAGAGCCAAGCGGGCCATCCGGGCGTCTTCGGGTTAATGCTTGTGTATCTTAAAAACACAACAAGCCCTCTCGTGCCCCGGAACATCACCGATTGATTGCCACCACTGATTTCAGACCGTGTGGGCTCTCTTATCGCGTAGAATCAAAATCCGCGTGAACTGGAGTCTTTGGGCCCGGTGGCCCCCCACCTGCTCCCGCCCTGGGCCACTCTTCCCTCAGTGATCTACCCCTAGGCCATTCTGTCGGCGTGCAGGCGGCTCTCACACATGTGCTGGAAAAGCTCGTGCGGCCGCTTGAATTTTCCCAGGGTCCCAGCTGTAATCACCTGGAAGATTTAAAATACTTTGTATCTTGTCAGTTTGAAATCGACACACCCGCCCAGGCCCATCGCCCTTTTCAACCTGAGCGGGAGGGACATTGACATGGGGGGGGGGGGCAGTGCCCACCCACGTGAGGCCTCAAAGTACCCTTTCCTACGAAAGGTCATGCGTGAGGCCCCTGGTGCACCGCTGGGACGGGAGAACAGTCGTGGAGGGAAGGTAGGCAGGCCTCGTCAAAATGAAAAACCACTGGAGTCTGAATCTCCTCGCAGCAGGAGCGTCCTTTGAACCGGCTGTTCCAGGAGCTGTGTCCTGTCACCCGGCACTCATTCCTCTTCCTCCCTTCGTACGTCTGTACTTTGTCTTCAGACCAGGGGGGGCGCTGAGTGGGAGCCATACTTCCCTGCTTCCGTGGGCGTGGGCCTGGGCCTGGGGTGGGGGGGCGGGTGGTGGAGAGGAGGGCATCCCCCGCCCCTGCCCTGAACAGAAGTGCTTAAAACACCATTAACGTCTCCCTCCTGCTTCGGATCCCTTTTCACACTCCGGTGACAACTAAAATTGGTGGTGAGGCCCCCCCGTGCTCGGGCGGGAAGGCTTGGTGTCCACAGGAAGCCTGAACGTGACCTGATGGAAGTGATCGCCGGAAGTCTGCAGGCCCCGTATGGCCACCTGGGGGCACAATCAGGTTTGCTTTGGAAGCACAGTCTTTCAAAACCTGATCCCGGCGGCTTTGACAAAGGCCCCTCCGGCTGGTGCTTGTCTTGGAGACCAGCCAGGTGTGTTGACGGCCTGTGGGGAGGGGGGGGGGGAGTGCCCCATGGGGAATGTTCAGGCACCGAGGTGCCTCCGGTCGGCACAGCCCAAGGTCAGACATCACCAACCAGCTCCGAGGAGGGAGCGGTTTGTGGCTGACTGTTGTCTGGGTCCAAGGACCGTGTAGATCCGCGGTTTTTAAAGCCTGCAGCTCCAGCACCGGGAGGCTTGTCAGAAATGCAAGTTCTTGGGCCCTACCCTAGACCCACTGAACCACACCAGGGGCGTGGGTCCCACGTCCCGTGCTAGTGAGTCCGGCCTAGGGTTCTGATGCGTGCTCAAGTTCTGGAGGACGCAGCTGAGGAGCAGATCCTTTCCCGGGGCGGGGGGGGGGGGGGGCGGCTTGTGTAATGCACCAACCTGGCCTGGCCAGAGTGACAGAAGGGACCACCTGCAGGAGAGTGGCCCCTGGAAACCCAGTATGGGGGCTCGAGTGAGTCACAAGGTGTTGCGGTAACCCTTTGAGGCTCAGCCACCTTCCCCTGGCATCTCTGTGGGCTGCTGGTGGCAGGCAGGGACTCCGCCTGCCGAGCCGGCCCCGGGGCCGCCGGGTGCGTGTGAACAGCAGACCCGGGCCGTGCCCAGATTTGCTGATGGCTCCCTTCCTCCCCCAAATGGTGGGAGCCTGGAGGGGCTGTCCTGATGCCAGCTCTCTTTTCACTGCTGCAGGAAGTCCATTCAGCCCTGCATTGCCTTTAATGAGTTTTGCAAGCAAGTGGCCTCTTCCGGTGACTCACTCTGCCTTTTGTGCCCCGGAGATTGTGGTTTTAAGTTTCACTTTGGAAAGTAACCACCACTTCTGCTGCTTTCTCCGCTGCTGGAATCTGAACAAGTTACATTCATTTTGCAACAAAGAAATGTAAATGCAGGAGGGCCAGTCATATTTCTGCTCTGATTGTAAAAACATCCTTTTCCGAGACGGATGACAGAGCCAAGCTAAGAAGAAATGGTTTCTATGGTTCACAAGTCACACGTTCACTTTGGGAACTTCGTATTTTTCCTTCCAGACAGGCTTGATACTTTTGTTTTTGTTCTTTGTCTTCTGGATGCATATTTCAGGGATATCCTAAAAATAAACAGCGCTTGCTGACTCAGTGAGGTGGTGAACCTCTGATTTATTGAGAGAGACTTAGTTCTGGACAAAAGTTTGTGTTCTCGCGTTCACGCAGTGCACAAAACACGATGATTGATGGAGGTCATGTCTTCTACGGTAACGTTCTCGTCTGATTTTGCACAGAACTCAGTTTATGGTATCTGAATAGATGCATTTCTTAGGATTAGAGGGGGTGCTAAGCGGACAGACCCCCAGACAGTACTTTTTTTTCTCTCCAAATAACATGGTCATCTTCAACACGTTGCAACAAACTGTATTATTTTTGTGTAATTTGACGTAGATAGGTACAAACGTAAAACCGTAGCTCGTATGTAACAATAAAACCAAAATGCAGTTAAAATGGTGTGCAGCTAAACTACAGCCGTAACACAAATCAACATGAGTGTCGTATCATGGAAAATTGAGCCTAGCAGAATGATGTTGGATTCGGGCTTTTAAGAGAGGCATTTGTGTTTCTTTTTGATATTTCATTTGTCATCTTGAGTCTTTCGACTCTTGAGCATGGTAGATCACCATTCAAATCTTTGTTGACACTGACTTCCACCAAATACAGCAGTTGGAAAGTTGTTATCACATATTTCCGTCTACGCTGGCGGCCAGTGAACTGTTAGACATTCTTACATCAAGCACGGTGTGGGGCGCCTTCGGTAAATCCTGTTCCGGGACAAATGTAGCACTGGCTTGGATTGAACCGCCCAGACTCCATTGTCCTAATTTTCTCTGACGTGCCACAAGAGCTCCGTGTGGACATTACTGCCATCATTTTGTGTGCTTCAAGCATCAGCACGCTCGGGGATTGGGTGTGGGGCGCCCCTCACCCTTCTCCAAGATTCTGACTGATGGAGCGTGAGCCGACTCAAATGAGCACGCGTGGGTCAGCTTTGCTGTCCAAAGCGATGGGATTTCCTGAAGTTGCCTGAAGCTAAGTTGAAGCTTTTAAATCTCTCTTCACCCTCAAAGCTGGAGAATGCCTCCCCTCTCGGGCTCCCTGGAGGTGGGGGGCTTCCCAAGTAGTCTTTTCCCCGGTGCAAGAGCCTCCTCCAGTGCCTGAGCACCTTGGAAAGGGAGAGAGCCCGCTTCCTGCTTCTGGGCACGGCTGGCCCGCGCTCTGGTCCCATGGGCAGAGGCTCAGGAATCCCGCCACCCAGACCTGCCCCTTCGTGGGGAGGAAGAAGGGGCCGCTGAGCGGAGACCCTGGGACGGCCGCTTCTAAACCTGCTTGTGTGTGGTCACTCTAACAATGTGGAGCCTCCTATGGTCTCAGCGTGCACCTACACCCTTCAGGGCGGCCGGTTCTGCTTCTAGAGGGCCAAAGCTATTTTGGAACTTGGAAATACGGTTTTGTTTGCTTTAGGAGCAAGTTGGGATGGTCAGGTGAGAGCCTTTGCACGGAGTTAGGGGGGACCCTGGGATGCCAGGTGGCTTTCTCTGGGGACTGGGGACGCTGGCCTGGCAGGAGCTGCAGCAGGGGACCCGGGCCGCTCCCCAATGCCCCAGTGTCTGTTCCGATCGACTCAGCACCTGGAGAAAAGGTTGGGGGAGGGATCTTACCTTGACACTTTGAGATAGTGGGACCTTGGGTCTCCTCTGTCCCACCTGAGCTACCACACCACCCAACCCCTGCAACACCGGGCCGATGAGAAAGCTCCAGACCTGGGGCGTCCTGAAGTACCCTTCCTGAGGTGCCCTTGCCATCCCCATGGAGGAGGAGGAGAGGGCAATGGCTTCGACTCGCGCTTCACAGGAGGCCTGGCTTCCTCTCCCGCAGCAGCAGCAGCACCTGGCGATTGGTAACATCTTGACAGAGTTAAGTCCTCAGCCAATGTATAAAAATGGAAATCCGGACGTAAGGCGTGGTCTGGAGCTGTCCACGGACAACGGATGAAGACATGAGCTATGAAAAGGGCAAACGTCGAAACAGCGTGTCCCTACGTGTCCGGGGGAGCGTCTCATCCAGGCACGTGAGTAAAGCATGGCTGTTCGGAGCCAGTTTACACACGGTTGAGATGCTTGCTCATATGTTCAGTGAAGCGGGCCCTGAGCCCTCCACCGGCGTGCCCGTGGACTGTATTTACACGAATGCACCCGAAGCGTGTCATCGCAGTTTGCGGAGGACTGAACGTTCTCTGGCGACTGGCCGGCCGCCTCTCCTCGCCGCGCGTCTCAAGCACGTCTTGGGCCTGGCCTCCCCTTCCCCAGGCTCTCTTGCGAACTGGCCCCCACGAGGCCCTCTGGTTGGCCGCAGAGTGGCACCTCATTCAGCGCATCCACACTCGCCGAGCCAGGCCTGGCCGGGCCAGGGAATGGGGATTGTCCAGTTGTCCTGCGTCACCCCCGGTCAACCCTGAGCCCCGTATAAGGTCACGCTCTTGTATTTTGTTGCAAAGCAACTGACGCAGCGCCTGGCACCTTGTATGTTCCCAGAAAGGTTGGTTTGAGACGATCTGGACTGTCTCCTATTCCGTTTGCAGTCTCTCCTCGTGGCCTCCAGTGTCCTACCTGGGTGTCGCTTTTCTCATCTGTGAAGTGGGAGATCGTCGTGTTTCCTGCTGGTCCTACGGGGTTGCCACGAAGCAAATAATGGCATAATACAGTGGGGTGTGTGCTTTAGCTACTGGGAGATCTGGCACACCTCTGAGCTTTGTTAATCATTGCTATTTCAGACCACTTTTTGCCGTCACGCACTCCTTTTTATTGAGGAGAAAACTGAAGTTCAGAGAGACGGTTGGAGGGCCTCTGACTCGGAAAAGGCAGAGCTGGAACTCAGGTCTCCAAGTCCAGTGCAAGTTCAAGCATCATCAGGCTTCATTCCCTCCCCCGCCCTCCCAGAATGGGGGGCGTAAGGATGGCCACTGGGATGACCGAGGTGAAGTGTGCAAAGATCAGGGCAGTCGTCCCACCGTGTCCCGTCACACGAGCCAGCCTCCGGGACTGTCCACGCAGGAGAGGCTCCAACGTCCCTTCCGGCTGAGCTGACGGCAACAAGAGGACAAGAGCAGGGACCAGGCCGTGGAGAGACTTGAGGCAGCTGCCACATTGTCCCTCAGGGTCAAACCACTGTGTGTGCCACAGAGCACTCACTGCTTCTTAAAAAAGCGAACGTGTTTCATAAGATGGGGGTAAGCACTTCCTGTTTGGGCCAGAAACAGATGCAAACCAGACCCTCTTCCTCTCGCCGACCGATCTGGGCCTTTCAGCTCAGAAATACCATCAAGGACCCATCATGCTTGGGTGGGGAGATGGAGGCATATATGATGAAGCTCTTGCCAGAGGCACCCTCTTCCTGGCTGAGCTGGAAGATTTGCCAGGGTACCTGAAACCTACCGATCGGACCCATCAGCTGAGCTGAGGGCATGGTGTTTGGGGCACCTGCCAGGGACTAAAGGAGTTGCATTCTGTTCTTTGTTTGCCTCCGATGTACGACAACAGCATAACAACGCAAAGGAAGAGGACACTCGTGTGCTTGCTGAAGGTTTGGTGTATAATACCCTGGCAGAAACGTTCATTGGTCTGGGGCTTCCGGTGAAAATGGCGCAGGGACAGGGAGTTTGGAGACCCTGAGACTCAGGAGTGTGGCCGAGGTGGCCAGCTGCCCTCATCAGAGTCCCGCTTTCCTGTGGAGTTGTGGTGGAAGAGCGACTCCCTCCCAGGGACTCAGCTGCCCAGCCCCAGCCCCACCTCTCGGTGGGGTCATGCCGCACTACATCTTGGCAATGGGGATGTGATCGCCTCTGGGCCAAAGCAGTTAAAAAAAAAAAAAAAAAAAAAGGGTGTGCCTTTTTGACATTCTCCTCTCCATCCATCAACGGGAAGTCAGGGTCTCTAGGGCAGAGCCACCAGATCAAAGGAACCTGGGTCCCTGAATCACTGTGTGGCTGCCAGGATGCCAGATATGGAAATGGATGCTGTGGGGTGAGAAATACGTTTCCATGGTGATAACCTCGGAGATTCAGAGGCTTATTTGTGACAGCAGCCAGCATGCCCACCCGGAACGCGGGGCGAGGGGGCAGGTGAAGGAAGATTCTCATGGGAGAGGGACACGGTGGCCCAGCAGCCTCAGGGAGGGGGCTGGCGACGGGGAGGGTCAGTGTGCTTCAGCCTGAGTTTTACGGGGTGTTTTTTTTTTTTTTTTTTCGTTTTTAAAAGGAGGGAAAAAAGGACATATGTGTTTGACAACATGCAGAATGCTTCTGGGAAGCTTTCTTGGGTACCATGTTGCGGGGGGAGAGGGAGGTGTTAGCACTACTTTGAAAAGATGATGCTCAATAAAAAAAATTGGAGCTATCAGCCCCAGAAGAAGTCAAAAGTTATAGATGTTAAAAATGTGTAATTAGGAGTTTGGGGGGATGGGAAAATCTGGAAGTTAGCGCGTAGTATCTAAGTTGGACTAATCAAAATAGGACAGCATATTCATATCATTTACAAATCTATACGCAAACAGCAGAATAAATAGCCAAACTCCGAGGAGAGGAGAGGGTTGGGGGGTCAGGGGGGGCCTAAGGCGGGGGGGGCAGGCAGGGTTAGATTTTGTGCTGTGTCTTCCTGTTACTACTCGTTGACTTTTAGCACGATGTGACTATATTATTTTGGTTGGAAAAAAAGTCGAGTGAAAATTATAGAAGGATAAGGATGCCGACAGAATAGATTGAAAAGGGAACCAAAGAACAATGGGAAAGAGGAGAAGGAGGAGAAAGGAACTAGCGAGAGGAACAGACCAGGACCTTGCCTCTCCTGTTCTCCATTCTTGAGTATTTTCTAAGGGACCAGCCTTCCTCACTAGTCAGTCTCTCCAAGGACAATCCCTTTTATTCCATCTAGTGGCCAGTTTTGAGAGTACCAATCCATTTATTCATAAGCTGCGTTATGTCTGGAGTGAGTGTGTCTGAAATGATCACCGTTGTGGCTGAGTAGTGTCTTATACTGCAGGGCTAGGACTTTGGAGGAAAAAAAAAAAGCATTTGAAGGGATAAGACACACTGA